TATATTTCTTTGTTCATCGTATTTTACACAGCTCTTCAAGTAGTAAACGCAATTAAAGCATGTCCGTGCTTGGAATACTTGGATTTGGAAGGAAATACATTGGGTACATCAGCTGCTGAGGCTATAGCGGAGGCATTAAAAGAGAAAGGGACTCCTTTGAAAAAAGCTCTTTGGAAGGATATGTTCACTGGACGTTTGAAAACAGAGATCCCAAAAGCTTTGGAATATTTAGGAATGGCATTATGCACTGCCAATAGTCAACTCACTGAACTTGATTTGAGCGATAATGCTTTTGGTCCAATTGGTATTCAAGGATTAGCTAGTTTATTGGCATCAAGCCCATGTTATACTCTAGAACAATTAAGATTGAACAATAATGGTCTTGGTATATCAGGTGGAAAAATGTTAGCCAAAGCATTAGAGAAATGTCATGAGAACAGTTCTAAAGAAGGTGAGCTTATATAATATATAAACATATAATTATAAATACATATTTGAATATATTCTAGATGTTTAAATATAATAACATATTTACCATAGGCACACCTCTTGCTCTGAAAGTTTTTATTGTTGGTAGAAATCGGTTGGAAAATGAGGGTGCACAAGCATTAGCAGCTGTATTTGAAAAACTGAAAACATTGGAGGAAGTTGTAATGCAACAAAATGGTATATATCACGTAGGCATTGCGGCAATTGCACAGGGTTTATCTGCCAATCCTAATTTGCGAGTGTTAAATCTGAATGATAATACAATTGGATTGAAGGGAGCCAGAGCACTTGCTAAAGTTTTACCAATTTTCCGAGGTCTGGAAGATTTAAATCTCGGAGATTGTTTACTAAAGACAAAAGGGGCTTTAGCTTTAGCAGAAGTGTTAGAAATTCATGGTAATCATACGTCCCTTATAAGTCTGGATTTAAGCAATAATGAACTGCGCGCGGATGCTGGATGTGCTATTGCTAGTGCCACACATGATAAAACTCTTCTGACAAATCTACAGCTGGATGGTAATTGTTTCGGAACGGAAGGACGCGAGAATGTCCGAGAAATTCTTACAAAATTAGGAAGAATTGATGCTCTGACTTCGTTGGATGAGGATTATACCGAGGATGAGGAGGAGGAAGAGAATGATGATAACGAGGATGAACAGGGTACAAGTGAAGAAGAAAGTGATGATGAAGACGAGACAAGTGACAAAGATAACAAGGAACAAGAGAACGTTGCGCAAAACGCAGTAACAGTAGCAGAATTTATAAAATCACCGATAGGTGAAAAACTATTGTTACTGCAAGGCGATAATGTTCAAGCTTTTATTGATCACGCAGCCGTACGTATTAATATATTTATACATCTAATTTGTACTTGTAAACATATTTCTTATTTTCTAGAATTTAGCAAATCAGAATAACACAAATACAGGACAGAAATATATAGAAGAACTTTTACGGATAACTATGAAAGTATCGGCATTGTGTGGTAGTGGCTACATAAATGTGAGAATAAAGGCAGAATCCTTGTCAGATGCTTTATATGCAAAACTATTTTCTTATGCTATAGAAAATGATCAAATTTCAAATTTGAATAATATGTTACTCGTTAATCTTGGTTTAATAAAAGTGAGAAAATATATTATTAAAATATGTATAGCATGTAATGACAAAACGAGTAAAGTAATTAACAATCATTCCTTTTTTAGGGTGAGGATAAAGCCAGTGGAAAAATTGATTGGAATTTGGAAGGATGTTTTAAGGCTCTAGAAAAAATTACGCAGAAAGATTATTTCTTAGTGCAAACAAGGAGTATGTTAAAATTATTCTTAGAAAAACCAATGAAGATTAGTCGTGCAAATGTAGTCGATCCATTTCACGATTCCAAAATTGCTCTTAAAGCTGTTCTAAATAGTATTCAAGTTACGTAAATTTGCCTGAAATTATTATCGTTGATATGACATAGTTATTTATTTTTATACATCATATGGAAAAATATAGTAGAAATTTTATGTAAAATTAAATTTAAAATGCCATCATATAAACTTAGCAGAATTTATATATAAATGATCTTTAAGATAAATCCTGAATGATTTTTAAGTCGAAATTTTGTACTTTTAATATTAAATTTTGTCAATACAAATGCCACAACTTCTTTTTGTAATGTGATCTTTATCTCATAAGAAAACGAGAAATTCTACTTTTACTAGAAAATAATTATGAATAATAATTACGTAATAATCATGATACAATTTCGAAATAAAAAATACATTTATTATCTTACAATATGTATATATGTAT